CGACCGTGACGGTTCCTTCGACGTCAACAGGAAGGGGGCTATGGGGGCTACCCGACTGGACCACCAAACGGGCACCGGGGGGGTACCATCTGTCGAGATTGACACGGCCGCCGGATTTTGGACGGTGCTGGTCAATGGGCTCGGTGACACCGGAACGCACGCGGAGTATCACGATTCTGAAGCATGACGGCAGCTCGCCGGAGAAGCGTACTGTTGATGTGCTGGAGTACACGGACGGATCATTGTGGGTGGAAGTCCCGCTGGGACCTGGTGAGAGCCCCCGACGGATTCCGATTCCAGTCCGTGAGAGTGAATACGGCACGGCCACGACGACGACGACGACGACGACGACGGTCAGCGTGATGACTCCTACGGGTCCCGCTACAGTGACAACGGACGGCCCGGTGGATCGACAGCAAGCAGGGAAGTGAAGATCACGCCACGGCGGGTTTGAAGACAACGGCCATCGCGGGCCGTGACGCCAACGTGAATGGTAAGAACGAGCTGGAGATTCCCGGGCCGGGACGGCACCACGACGGACCTGACGGTTTCTTCGACGTCGAACAGGAAGCGGGCTATGGAGCTTACCCGCCTGACCACCAAACCGGCACGGAGGGGCTACATCTGTCGAGATTTGACACGGACGCCGGATTTTGGACGGTGCTTGTTCAAATGGCCCGGTTGACACCAGAACGCACGCAGAGTATCACGATTCTGAAGCATGACGGCAGCTCGCCGGAGAAGCGTACTGTTGATGTGCTGGAGTACACGGACGGATCATTGTGGGTGGAAGTCCCGCTGGGTCCTGGTGAGAGCCCCCGACGGATTCCGATTCCAGTCCGTGAGAGTGAATACGGCACGGCCACGACGACGACGACGACGACGATGGTCACCGTGATGACACCTACGGGTCCCGCTACAGTGACAACGGACGGCCCGGTGATCGACAGCAAGCAGGAAGTGACGATCACGACCACGGACGGCTCGACGACGACGGCCATCGCGGACGTGACGCCAACGTCGAATGGTAAGAACGAGCTGGAGATCCCCGGCCCGGACGGCACCACGACGACCGTGACGGATCCTTCGACGTCGACAGGGAGCGGCTATGGCGGCTACCCGAGTGAACACCAAACGGGCACGGAGGGGCTACCATCTGTCGAGATTGACACGGCCGCCGGATTTTGGACGGTGCTGTTCAATGGCCCGGTGACACCGGAACGCACGCAGAGTATCACGATTCTGAAGCATGACGGCAGCTCGCCGGAGAAGCGTACTGTTGATGTGCTGGTGTACACCGACGGATCATTGTGGGTGGAAGTCCCGCTGGGTCCTGGTGAGAGCCCCCGACGGATTCCGATTCCAGTCCGTGAGAGTGATCACGGCACGGCCACGACGACGACGACGACGACGACGACGACGGTCAGCGTGATGACTCCTACGGGTCCCGCTACAGTGACAACGGACGGCCCGGTGATCGACGGCAAGCAGGAAGTGACGATCACGACCACGGACGGCTCGACGACGACGGCCATCGCGGACGTGACGCCAACGTCGAATGGTAAGAACGAGCTGGAGATCCCCGGCCCGGACGGCACCACGACAACCGTGACGGTTCCTTCGACGTCGACAGGGAGCGGCTATGGCGGCTACCCGAGTGAACACCAAACGGGCACGGAGGGGCTACCATCTGTCGAGATTGACACGGCCGCCGGATTTTGGACGGTGCTGTTCAATGGCCCGGTGACACCGGAACGCACGCAGAGTATCACGATTCTGAAGCATGACGGCAGCTCGCCGGAGAAGCGTACTGTTGATGTGCTGGAGTACACGGACGGATCATTGTGGGTGGAAGTCCCGCTGGGTCCTGGTGAGAGCCCCCGACAAATTCCGATTCCAGTCCGTGAGAGTGAATACGGCACGGCCACGACGACGACGAGGACGACGACGACGACGACGGTCAGCGTGATGACTCCTACGGGTCCCGCTACAGTGACAACGGACGGCCCGGTGATCGACGGCAAGCAGGAAGTGACGATCACGACCACGGACGGCTCGACGACGACGGCCATCGCGGACGTGACGCCAACGTCGAATGGTAAGAACGAGCTGGAGATCCCCGGCCCAGACGGCACCACGACGACCGTGACGGTTCCTTCGACGTCGACAGGAAGCGGCTATGGCGGCTACCCGACTGAACACCAAACGGGCACGGAGGGGCTACCGTCTGTTGAGATTGACACGGCCGCCGGCTTTTGGACAGTCTTCTTTGACGGTCCGGTGAACGATGGATTGCAACGTGTCAAGCTGCAAAAGCACATTGAATCGACCTCTGTGATGACACTATTTGTGAATTATAGAGCTGACGACAAGAAGACGGTGGAGATCCCGACGGGTCCTGGAGACCAGACCACAACCGTGTTTGTGCCAGAGTGGCAGGTCGAGCCCGGCCAGGGTGGCGTCCCAGCCGCAGTGGTTGACCACCAACAGGTTAGCGTGAAGACACCCACCGTTCCCATTACAGTAACGACGGACAGTGCGGTGCTGGACGGTAAACAGCTAGTGACGATCACAACGCCCGACGGCAAAACCACCACCACAGCTGTCGAAGTGACTTCGACGTCGGACGGTAAGAACGCACTGGAGATCCCCACGGGACCTGAGGGACAAAGTATGATCGTGACTATCCCGCAGCCTCCGAGTGCCGGCAGCACTGGTGGCTCTGGGACCGTACCCCAATCGAGTAACCCAGCTCCGGAGGTACCCCACAGGGCCCGGCAACCGTGACGATCACAGGCCCACTTGTTGATGACAAGCAGGTCGTGACGATCACTACGCCCGACGGCGGAGCTACCACGACAACTGTGAACGTGACGAAGACAAGGGACGGCAAGACGGAGCTGGAGATTCCGACGGGAGAAGGTCCACTGTGTCGGTTCCATCGACAACCACCCAGGAAGGAGGCGGCCACACCACGACGGATATCCTGAACCAGTTAGGAGGCAACGACATCGACAACGGAGACAAGGACTTTATGTCAAAGGACGAGTTCCAGCTGCAGATCGGTGCGCACTTTTCCGACAAGATCATGGCTTTGAAGCAACAGACAAAGGACGAGGAAGCCCAGAGTGACAAACTGCTGGACCAGCAGAAGGAACTTCAAGACTGCATCCTTCAGGCGGCCAACAAGGTATGCACTAACGTTACTCATTCTGTAAGTCGTAACCATGTTGCTAATCAGTTCTTGCATTCTGTCTGTGCAGTTCGGATACTATGGAGTGTACGAACAGCCTCCGTACTTCAAAAACGCCGTGCACTGGGTCGACAAAGACTGTCTGAGGCAGTAAACGGTTGGAAATGAGACGTCGACGGCCATTAGTGACGACTACCAACTGCAATGTGCTGTCGGTGGCTTGCATAGCTTTATTTCTTTCGCGTGGCTTGTAGTTAGCTGTAACAACAGCAATGATGGTAAAATGAACACGGCATTGCATCATTTTAGTTTGTGATCGTGTTCAAACCCCGACTTAGCACTGCAAGGCGTAAGTACAACGTGCCGGTCCCTCGTATGACTGCATAATCCTTATCGCCAGCGTTTTCTTTTCGCTCTTGACATGGTAGACCCGCTGCTCGTGCTAGAGACCCCCACATTGTTTGAGGTTCAGATAAAACAAGAGGCACGTCAAGAACATATTCGTCTGTGACCAAAGGCACCGAGATTCTTGCTGTCCCACCTGTAGAATAAACAGAAAATTGCTTGAACGTTGAAAACCGCGAGTGATAAAGAGCACAAAAACTTACACAATGTTTCGAGCTGGAAGGCGTCCAGACTCCACACCTCCAACATAATTCTCATCGTTAGTTATTGTCTCGATAGTATCCGTACGGTGTTTCTACGATACCTGGAACTCAAGACGTGGCCAGCTATTCCACGCATCCAAGTTCGTTGTAGCGAGGTGAAGCTCGATCGGATGTGCCCACACAGTGCTCATCTTCGGTAGTGAAATATCCTTCCGGTTCTGGCGATACAGATCCGGCGTGGCAAGACTCCCGCCACTCGAGGCAGCATGCACTTGCGTCTGACCTCGTGTCTCTCCTTGAACAACTTTCCAGACTTCGTTGCTTGAGTTCGAAGTATCATCGACAACGACTCGCCACTTGCAGAAGTAGCTCAACTCGGACGAAGGATGCAGCGACAGCATGTCGAGCACGTGAGAGACGGAGAACTCTTCTTCGTCAAGTCCAGAGAGACCAGAAGCACCCAAGAGATCGCCAACTACATGCACCGACGCCATTTTTTTATCCTGCGACGCTTAGCGATTAACAATAAAATAAACGAGAAAAACATTTAAAAAATGTGAAGAAGTTTTTAAGGAAATAGCTTGAAGCTCGTGCGCCTAAGAGCTTGACGAGCTCAGCAGCGGCACGTGATCGCCTCCTCTTGAGTTGTCGTCTCCTCTATCTAGCGATTCGACGGTGATTCCTGTGGGCGGTTCCTCCAACCCAACGGTTCTGTATCCCGGTCCGTCACTGCTCCGTTCCACGTCTTCTTCGTCGACCCCTGCACCGATCCACATGGCTCGGAAGTCCCCGTTCCGCTTCGACGCGATAACGAGCGAGCCCAACGTGGTAGGCACGAGATACATGAGTGCCGGTTGACCCATTTCCGTGATCATCACTGCCAAATTGGCCATGGCTAGACCAACAGCGTAGCCAATAGCCATCAGACGGAAGTAGTTCGTAGACCCCTGTGCATAGTCGAAACGCAGCGTGAAGGAGAGGAGCATGCCGGGCAGAATAATGTCTCCAAGGCCGAGCATGCTGACGCCTCCAGACCAGTCCATTATACGGGGCAGTACAAGAAGCATCGGCATCGGTTCGGGGTCAATACACGCCGGGTATTTCGGGTATCGTTCGCAGTAGTCTACCCCCGGATAGCCACTCTTGGTGTAGGCTGCCGGCCCACCAGTGGCCACATCTTCCATGACGCTGGAGCCGAAGAATATTGGCGACAAGAACACGAAGAAGACGTCGTAACAGAACGCCAAGGAAAGCAAAATCGTGGCCACTTTCAGGTTCGGTAGCTGGACAGTCCGGAGAAATAAAAAGCAGAGCGAAATCCCCATGAGATCTTGCAGTATCCAGTACGTCCGTCTGTGTAGATACCACACCGCAGCAGCCGTAATACTCGGCAGGAAGCCAAGCACCTCAGACAAGCGTGCAGAGTCGCCTAGTAACGGGATTTTAACCTCACGAGACGCTGACGTCGGCATCAACCACTCCACAGCTGGAATTCCTACGACTTGTGTCAATGTGGCAGCACCAGATACCGCGAACAACACGGGGATGGCGCCACCTAACTTCACATAATAAAATACCGTCAAGAAAACGCCAGCCAGAGCTATAAACCCTACGGCGTGTCTAGCATCCAGCTCCCAGATATCGTCACGAGTATTCCTGCTCTCCTCGTCTCGGATACCTTCACCACGTCGCCTCGGCTCATAGAACGTACTGTCCTCCTGATGTCTCAATGAACTAGCCGAGTAGTACGTCGCTCCTAGAGCTGTAGCGACACCCAAAGCCCACAGAAGCACCGACGACACGTCGATCAGTGGCAGTTCCCGTCGATAGGTGCGTGCAACCAGCGACGTCGTGTGCTTGTCAATGGCTTTTTGTAACTTGTGGCCATTGGCTATAGTCACATACACCACTGGGATCGCTAGCTGTTTCGCCACCGTCCGGTTGGTGACGCCCATGAGCACAAAGGTGTCCCACATACAGCACACTTGATGTTTCTTGCCGCTCTCCCGCATTTCAGTGCGTCCTGTGAGCACACACGACTTGGACGAGCATCGCTGGTCTCCACTGCATTGCTCACTGTCTGTAGTCCACTCGGGCGTCGCTGGTTTGTCCACAAAGGCCTCTCCTTTGCTGCAGTCGTACTCGAATACAGGCTTGTCGACCACTGCTAAACTGGTGGTGGGTTCTGTGTTCTGGCCACTTAATAAGGTACTGGAGTTTGTAGTATTATGACTAACTATGGCCTCGTACACAGCTCTCTTAGTACCTCTGATAATTAATCCCTTGGCGCCAGCAGCTTGAGCTTGCAGCGCTTTAGTGATGAACGAGCAGTTGCCGCGGTCTACGAGGACGATAGATCCATTAACGGAGGTAGTAGATTGAAGCTGGTATGACTCGCAGCCGTCACGATTCGATTCCGGAGCTTGTACCAGTGTCTTCCAGCGCGAGTCGAAGCGTGCGGGGAGCGAGACGCCCCATCCGGCAGCGGCACTGGGCGAGCAGAGCTGCTCAGCGAAGACTGGAGGCTCGTTAGGAGACTGAGGAAGCAGGTCAAGCGACAGGATACCCGTGGGCAGCACGGCGAGCGCGCGGGGCAGCGCTAGGAGCAGCAGAACCGGCAGGACGCGCCCCATGCTCGCAAAAATAGATACTGACAAATGTGAACATCAGTTTTTTATTAGTGGATATGTGGACCACAGAAGATCTAAAAATAGGTCACTTTTTTGGTACCGAATGTTGAAGTTGTTGTTGATTTGGGTCGACTACATGATGCAGCGCTCTCCAGCGATACCGAAGAGCGATGACAAGCTGAAGATGATGAAAAAGAGGCACATACTGACCGCAAGTATCTCGGCTGATGCATTGCTAGCGTGTGAGCAGCAGCTGGAGCCTCCTAGACGTCCGATTCAGCTCGCTATTACAGATATTTTACCTAAAAAGGTTTCGTCATTGCCAACTTCTCCAACTACTTTAGGACCGCTCTCTGCTCCACGACCTGTCAAAAATGCCACTAATGGCTCTCAATTGATCCCTCCAGCGCCTAAAACAATTAAGAAAGAATTGCCGTCTCCGGTACCCGCGTCGCAGTCACTTGAGAGCTACGCGGAGAGGTTAGAGCACGCGGAGAATACGGAGCTGTTTACATACGCCAGTGCGCTATGTCATCGTGTTACAGGTCGATATCTGCCTCGGACAATGTTACAAACTGATCCTGAGGCTCAGCAACGTGAACTCGAGCGAATTCAACGCGATCCTGAAATTTTGCGTGCGATTGATGCCGTTCGCGTGTTGTCAGCCCAATTTAAAGACGTGGCACAGACCACGATGGGTCACCGAAGAGAACTGGGACATACCCTATTTCGCATTGAAGAGAGCTACTTGAAACTCTTCGAGAAGCTTCTAGAGCTCTCGTTGCGACTGTATTGGGAGTACGAACAGCGAACTGAAGCACAACGAAAAGAAGACCAAGCAAGCATAGAGCGATGGCGTGAGAAATATGAGCGAAAAAGTGTCGAACACGTGAAGCTTAATAAGAAGCTAGCCGCAAGAGAAATTATCCACCGCACACGAGAAATCGAACTCCAGGGCTGTCAAGTTGAAACGAGAGAAATCGAGAAAGAACTGGGAAGCCAACGCGAGCTGGAGGCGCATATTTTCCAGCTACAGAATGAAGCTGCGTTGCAGCGAGTGCTGGAACGAAAACTACGGGACGATTTCAATCAATTGACCGTGAGCTTTCTACTGTTCAAATTATGGGCAACAGTGCGATTAACTGATGCAGTATTAACGATCAGAAAACGCACGAAGAGATGGCTGAACATCAAAAAGAGCTCAGAGAAGAGGTTGGAAGTTGAATTGATAGTGGTGATGATTAATAATGACTGACTGTATGTTGTTCTAGATGCAAACTCAACACAAACAACTCATTCAAAATCTTAGGTACTGGCAAACAAATATCAAGTTGTGGAGGTAGTTTTGCAGATTATGAATCCTTGTTGTACTGTATGCCTTACTAGGCGTACCGTTCAAGAAAAGGAAAAGTTTATCAGTAAACAGGAGGTTACGCTTCGCCACCTCGAGGAAATCGTCTCGGTTCCTCCTGTTTGCTACGAATCTCATTCATCACAAACAGAAGTGGACGACGATGGGCTGTGGGATGTTCAGGTAACGGTCTTATCTTCATTTGATGACGCTGAAAGTTTACTCATTCTGGTTCATTAGGATGGCATTCCTCGGTTTGTATCGAAAAACATGGTGCACAAGATGATGTGGCGCCGATTTAATGCGTTTGTCGCATGTAAGAACTGTGGTGGTCGGCCACTTCCAAAGACGATAAAGACGAATCCCTTCGGAAGAGGTACACAAGACGACACGATCGAGGTAACTAAAGATTTATAAAGTTTGGGAGTATGCGTCTCTAACAGCAACGAACAGGAACTTGATATTTGGTCAGTTGACAAAGGTAAGAAGCGCACCAAGAAGACGACAAGACGGTTTGAGCGCATCGAACAGCAATGGTTTGTACCTTTTTTCAAATTAGTATTGTTACATTTTTCTAACTGCTCCTGTTTAAAGGGAGCTCCCGAGTCACACGATTTTATTCCTCTCGAATCTGCCCAAATCGGTTGTGGCTTTCCCATTCTACTCGGCTGAGCGTGTGATTTCACAAATTGAACAAATCTACGACGATAAGTTCGCATCCGACCGAACGGATGAAGCCGACGGCGTAGCACGAGAAGAACTGGTACGAACACTTGCAGACTCACTTTGTCTATTCCAGAGAAACTAACGATCTAGACGCACAGCCTCGTTATATCTGCGAGTACTTTTTGAAGACTCACGGGCTTCGACAAAGCGCAGAGATTGGACTGTATCGCTTTTTAATCTCGGTCAAGAGCACGTTCCAGCGCAACTCGCATGTTCGACTATTTGCGCGCTTGTCAAACTTACTAAAGAGCCACGACGAGGAAGATTCAGGCGATCTCGAACCAAGACCTGATCTTGCTGATAAAAAGAAATCGGCCAAGTCTACCAAACCCGAACCTACCAATGAATCTGATCTCAAGCGTGCCAAGCACTCAGGGTACCTGGATCGGAGCTTCCTCCATGTGTTCTTAGAGGCTCGCCATTATCTGATACGTCCACCACCTCGTGTGCCTTTAAAAGGTAAGAAGACACGTAGTAGTCCTGACCAAAACGTGACCGCTGTCGAGCATGTAGTCCAGGTAGAACCGACGAAGAAGTGGGTACCTCTGGACCATGCTATCACAGTGTTAAGATGGTACAGTAGTTGTCTACCAGAGGACAGTATTTCGTATTACTGTCGACAGGTACGCATTTCTCTAAAGCTTGAAAGTCTTCCGCTTACCAGCCTATTTATCACTGCCAGGTCGAGCACAGCACGGCGATTTACGACGGCCACACACTCACGGAGATCGCTGGCAATCGACTGGCAGTTCGCGCCGAGATGAGACGAGTAATGCTAGCTAGCGAAAACCCTGAGCTGTCTTCTTCATCAGCCCCAGTTGAAGGTGGCAAGGGGCGACAACGTGTATCACAACCGCGAATTGTAGCCAATGTGCATAAAGTGCTCAAGCTACTGATGGACGCGCTTGAACAGCGTCACGAAGGCATCAAGAAGGACCTAACGGAACTCTTCGATTCGGTGAGTATCTTCGCCTGAACAGAGAACGAACTCGTGTAATGACACTACTGTGACTGTACACAGGGTGACGTGAATCACGACTGTGTGCTGACGTTGGACGAGTTCAGTGCGATTATCCGACAGCGAAAGCCTCACTTCAGCGACCGACGGATTCTGCGGATGTTCCGCGAGTCTCTAATGGGTGGAGCTGACCAATCCTTCGCGCTCTCCATGAAGGCGTTCGTGGTTGTCTGCAATGATCACGGCTTGGTGTCGCTACTTCCTGACGATCGCATGGTGGATCCGTTCTCTCATTCAACACTTGAAACCAGACAACGACCAAAAAATCTCTCGAGTAAGTCCATACAGCACGATGAAGTCACTGCATCACAGCCAGCAGATACGACAGTGAATATCCACACAGAAATCCCGGAAGATATCCCCTGGGATGACACTAGTCTCTTATCTGCAAGAGCACAAGAAGTAGATGAAGAAGAACACGCAACATGGCAGGACTCTGACATGTAGTTCTTGTATTGTATAGCTACTTCGAGCCTGTATCTTCGGGCCCGTTGTCGTCTGGTAAAGGTTTAACTTCGACGTGTGTGAATGCACTTGGCGCATCACTCGTTGTGTCAGAATGAACATGACTACGGTGCTTAACTCGGTTGGCAACCTTGATAGTGTGAAGACGCTGTAAGCTGACGATGGACGCAACTTTGGCCAGGAGGTTGAGAACGAGCGTGAAGAGCGCGAACTGGTTCGTACTGCATCCCGGAAAATGATCCGAAGCGCCCCCGCAGCTCACGATCGAGACGGCGTTGGCGTTGCAGAACTGGTCGAAGAACACGCGTCCAGACACCCACAGACTCATCCAGATAACGTCCGTCACGACGGACAAGCTGACTGCAATCATGTGCAGCGGCACAAGACGCGAGTACTTGGCACTCCACGACGGAGTACACGCCAGTAGACACCACAATGCCAGTGAAAAGTTGTAGGCAGGAAACGCGACGTAGGACAGCTGCATCACCAGACTACAGCAGAGCTGAAGCTGAGCGAGTCGACTCAGGAGTTTCCACCACTTTTGCTCTGGAGTGAGCACCGTCAGAAGACCATTGGCAGCGCTCTTCTCCTTGCCACGACGTGTTAAACGCGAACCTTTGCCCATTCTCGAACCTCTTTGGTGTGTGGCGAGTCCCAACACGTAGAAAATAGCCGTGTAACCTCTTCAATTATTCTTGGGGAGGTTCGTTGTTCCTAGACTCTCAAGGTACTCGACGTACTGACGAGAGCTCTCTACAAGTTGAAAGTTCCGAGATTCGCGCCAATAGCTCAAGACCAAAGCGTCCAGATACGCAAGTTGCTGGGCCGAAATACCGTCTTGTCCATCAAAATCTCCTTGTACATGCTCAGAAATGGGTGGAGGCTGGGAACAGCTCGCGGCCATCGCAGCATTCTCGTACGCCGTAAGTGGACTTGTCGCGTCTGAATCATTGGCCTTGCCTTGGACACTCCAGCCACGAGCTTGCATCCACAAAGTACACGCAGTAGACTTGTCTCCCTTTCGCCAGAGTAACAGAACGAGGTTAAATTTGATGGCGAGACAAGTCGGATACTGCTGCAATCCGTCGCGTAAGATGGAGATGGCGGCATCAACGCCGGAGCAGCAAGCCACAGCAACAGCCAAGTTGTTCAGCAGCTGCGTGTGGCACAATGCAAGTTCTTCTGAGACAGCAGTAGTCGCCTCTCGACGGGACATTATGCCTTGAACTCTCGGCTGGACAATCTGCTGGAGATACTCGCAGCATTCATCGACGCGTTCCAAGCACAGAAGAGCGTCAGCTTTGTATAAATGCAGCGACACCACGTCGACGGTATCGGTAACCTCATTCTGCAGGTACTGTTCGCACTTACGCAATGCTAGCGACGGGAGTTTGCACTGAATGTCAACAAGCGGAAGTTAGTCTGGTAGCTGCGTTAAAGTTAAGCAAGATAGAGGCATCCACCTGGAGCAATACGTAGACGTAGTCTCGTGCGACCTCTAAACCGGTACTATGGGCGCCACGTCGATCTTCAACACTAAGGAAACGTTCAAAATGCTGCTTTGACTCCAGCCAACTGCCTAGTCAACAACAGCACACGTCAGTTCATTATTTTTTTAACTACAGTTCACTAACGTACCGTTATCCATAGCAGCTAAAGCCAAGCGGAGATGCAGTCTCGATACGTCCACACTTGCTGTTCGTGACGGCAATAACGACGCCAAGTCTCGTTCGTCGAAAAGTGTCGTTGAGTTGGCTGTGCTCGTTAGATCCAGTCGCTTGAGTTCTGTTTGCCCACTGCCACCTCCACGTATTTCCAGTATGTACTCGAGTAGTTGCTGCTGTGCCTCCGAGTTGCCCATGCGTTCCAGCAAGAGTCCGTAGTTAAACATCGCGGTAGGATCTTCAAAGTTAATTTCCAATGCGCGTTGAAGCTGCTTTGAAGCAGCGTGATAATCCTTCGCTTGCAAACTTACAAGAGCTTGAAGCGATAAACAAGCAGTAGGCTCGTAGTTGGCCCGAATACATTTGTCCAATGCAGTAATCGCATCGTCTGGATGTCCAGTGCGAAGCAGCGCCACAGCATACCAGTACAACAATACGCCATCTTCCGGCGAGCCAGCACACGTCTCCACTGCACTCCGGAGACACTCTATTGCTCCAGTAAAGTCCTGCTTCTCCGTCATTTTTGACAGTCCAAGCAGAAACAATGGCCACTTGACTAACTGCCTCGTGGACTCGTGTTTCGAACAGAAATTGCTGCAAAAGTCGAGCAGATTCTCTACTTTTATCAAATTTCCCACTCGATCGTAGGACAACCAGCAGATTGCCAGTAGTACACACAAGTTTGTCATGATTGTGACTGCATGAACAGCGTGTTGTGGCATCCGTGACGTCTCCCAGAATCTCTGGAACAGACACTTGATCATGCTGCACAAGTCTCCTCTGGCTTCATTTTTCAGGTCTACAGAGCTTGTGAGGGTTGTAAATGCACTTGCAGCTGCTGTCTCGAGTAGATATACGCGCTTGTGCCACTTAGAACTCGCTGCTTGGTCTGTAATAGGGCGATACTGAAGCAGAAATGCCAATACTTGGTCTGTCACGTGGCATACTGCAATTGCACTGGCCTCTGGGGAGGATGCTGAGCGCTGCAGCTGCTTCCTGACGCTCTCTAGGCTAATGAGTAGATCGCACTCGTGCAGGTTGGAGCTGTAAGAGCTGCTAGTAGCGTCGTGAACCAGCTTGAGCAACGCCGATGCAGACTCCATTAGCGAACAGATTTGAAATATCTCATTTGATAATTTGATACCGGTATTACTAAATTTATGCGTGCTCAAAATGGCAGAAAATGTGTACAAATATTGAGATTCTAAATAATAATCTCTGATTATCGCGTCACCAATTCTTCAAGCGCATTTTGGCGATCAATGCTTTGGCTTCTTGGGGCTATCAGGTCCGATGTTCTCCACAACGATAGTCTGAATTCCAATGCACGTGTCGTGGATACGAACTTTCTTCTTAAGTTGCTCCATGCGAACATACTGCATAAAGATCGGGCCGTGGTACGTCGAAATCCCCATGAACATGTGCCACCTGCAGCGAATGGTAACAGCCGAGCAGCGTTAGCAAGATATACATCATCGAATCAGCTAAAAGAGCTCTCACCAGGCGTGGCCTTGCGGGTTAATGGGTAGTTCCCGGACAATGTGACAGTAATGGTAATCCATGAGCCAGAATGCGAAGCCAATGAGACTTGAAGTCACATATGATCTGGCCACGGCGCGAGCCTTCACGTCTTTCACCTCAGCGTAGTGCATACACAGCCGTCCTGCACCAAAACGCCAAAGAACACTTGAAAGACCGTCGTGAACCGGTAAATGGCGTGTACGACCGTAAAGATGGCGCCGATCGTAGTCAGGAAGGCGATCACATAATTATTTGCGTTCTTGATGGGGATTTGCTCGATCTCGTTGTTGTACACAATGTAGATCCACGCCAAAATGGACCAAACCATCGGCGTCTCGTCACACTGCTGGTACACTGCTGCAGTGTACCGTGGAGCATGGCGGATCCAAAGCCTGTGACCATTACGCCAATAAATTGTAAGTGGAAACGAGGCTCAAATCCCATTTTGATACTGCGATAAAGGCCATAGAGTCCAAGCAGCACGAACAGCGAGTTGCTGATGGTGTTCCAGAACTCGGCGATGTAGAAGCTGTGCTCGTAGTTGAGCTCGCACCAGTCGATGGTCGACGTCGGTGGTCCCCAGTAGCCCGTGGGGGTGGACGAGCGCATGTTGGTCGTAGCCATATTGGATCGACTATTCAGGAACGCTGCGAAAAGGAGAATGGGGTTTCACGCCGGTTACAATCTGCATCCTCAAAAGATTTTCTTTATCTCGAAGTGACTACGATAGTTGCTGATTATTTTATTAAAACTGTACGTCAAAAGAAGTTGCCAGAAACGGCTGCAATAGTAATGTGAAGTAATCATGTTGGAAATGTAAATGCTCATGCGTCAGTGACGATTTCATTAAGCAAAACGGCCATGTCTCCAAGCAGTGCGACTTCGGCTAATAAACTCATGGCTCACGCTAATAAGATTTACGCAATGTAGGCGTATACACTACTACTAAGCACGTGTCGCATTAGAGTTTTCACAACTGCTTTTGCTTCTTAGGACTCACGGGATCGACAACGATGGTCTGGATGCCGAGGCAAGCGTCCTGGATACGAGCCTTCTTCTTGAGCTGCTCCATGCGAACATATTGCATGAAGATTGGGCCGTGGTACGATGAAACACCCATGAAAATGTGCCACCTGTTATACATCAGCAATGAGTTTAGTAAAGTGACGGCAAAAAACACAGCTCAACAAGCACTGTACCAGGCGTGGCCCTGAGGGTTTACGGGCAGCCCACGGAGTGTGTGGCAGTAGTGGTAGTCCATCATCCAAAATGCGAAGCCGATGAGTCCCGACGTCACGTAGGACCACGCTACAGCTCGTGCGCGAGGGTCCTTCACCTCTGCGTAGTGCATACACAGACGCACGCACGCTGACACGGCGAGGATGCCGAAGAAGATCTGGAAGACCGTCGTGAAGCGATAGATGGCGTGAACCACAGTAAATACGACGCCAATTATTGTCAGGAATGCGATCATATAGTTTTCGGCGTTCTTGACGGGGATCTGCTCGATTTCATTGTTGTACACAATGTAAATCCACACGAGGATGGTCCAAATCATCGGCGTCTCGTCGCACTGTTGATACATGTGCTGAAGCGTACCATGAAACATGGCAGACCCGAAGCCTGTGGCCATTACGCCGATAAACTGTAAGTGGAAACGAGGCTCAAAGCCCATTTTGACGCTGCGGTAGAGGCCATAGAGTCCAAGCAGCACGAATAGCGAGTTGCTGATGGTGTTCCAGAACTCGGCGATGTAGTAGCTGTGTTCGTAGTTGAGCTCGCACCAATCGATGGTTGAGGTCGGTGGTCCCCAGAAACCCACAGGTGCCGACGTCTCCGCCTCGCGTATGTTGGTGTGCTCAAGGGTGATCATGGTGAGTCCGGTTACTTGTGCGACACAGGTCAAAAACGCAAATGGGAGGGTACTATTTTAATATAGAGTAAAAAGCATTAGTTGCGTCAGTTCTGTAGGTGGCCGCAATCATTTACATGCTGCTAAGATAAAATACTGCGACATGGCTTGCCAATTCAAATTGGAGGCTCTAAGTCCAATCGATACCGGTACCTGGCAGGAAGTTTTAAGCTTAGGAGCGCTGGAAAGCTTAGGTGTGCTCCGATATTATTAGTGGTCGTGTACTTCTGTGACTTGTTCGCATCACAACCCCTGTCCTAATTTCTTCACCCTTGGTTGGCAGCTGTTATCAGATCTAAATGTAAGCATCCCGGAAGGTTCTGCAGCAACTTGCTGCCAGCAAGGCGGCGGCCGTGAATTGTTTCCGCTGCAGCGCGTGCTCGCTGTCTAGCTGTAAGCTACCAGAATTGTGCTGGACCGCAACGCAGAATGAAAGATGACGCGATTTTAAAATTGATAAGCGATTCAATGGTCGTACCTTTATCATCACTCGGCCATGCAGATTGTTTATCTTACGTCGACTGAAACAATCCTTCCCCATTTGTATTAAACATCATTCGGTCGTCACACTGCAGTTCGTCCAAAACGTTTGACATTCTGCAACCTAATGCCAGGCGACCAGCTTCGTTTGAAATCCTATTGTGGAATTTAAATCTAAAAAAAGTGAAGCGCAAAGTACTACGCTTCGTCAATGTATGTATCCGACATGAAAAGGCTTGAGATCTTCGTCAAATAACATGACAGTCTTGATCAGAATACACTACTGTAGACTTTGGTAGCGCTCGGAGAAAAATCTTCAATTCGGTAGAGTAATACAACTTTTGAGGAAAAGCCATTCCTTTACCAGTAGTGAAAAGAAAAAGTGCAATTAAAGGCCCAATAATTTCGTCAAGCATCAATTGACTGACTCTGTCTTTTCAGATATCCGTTAGCATTCGCCCATCATACCAATCACCTCCCCCGGCGATTGCCTGGTTACCTCTTCCATTAATGTTACGCGAGATAAGCGTCCGGCATTCGATCGACGCTTGTACTGATTTAGCAAAACTATTTTGGTGACACCTGAAGCAAACCGCTCTTTTTTATAATGTGTCTAGCTCAAGTAATATACCTTTGCGTGGTGTACTACAAACATTTTTCTTGGCGACCTTTGGACTGTACGTACTTCATACTGAAGCACTACCAGGACAAACCCCCGTAATACTTGGTTACCCAACAGACCGAGCATATTACTTCAAAGTACTTGGTCACATTGCTCTATATTATCAAGGGCAATTTTATCTGTAAAATAATATATTGAAAGCTCATACCAGTATTATTATACTTTACAAATTTATAATTACTACTTTCATTTTGTCAAATTGCAGTGAAAAGAACTACTTATCTAAGAAGAATTGTTGTAGCCAAAAAGATCAACGAAGCAAGGCCATACATAATAAAATTATGTATCAATAATATTGTCCAATAATTTAAAAAGATCCGTTCAGCGAAGCGAGGCCATACATAAAGTGTAAAATGAATGGCCTTGCTTCGTTGAACGGATCTTTTTTAAATTTATTGGACAATATTAGACGCGTATTGATGTGACGTGAATGTTAGCTCTTTCTGCCAAAACAATTCTGGCATGATACGTACCAAATCAAGAAGTTGAAATGCTGAAATGTAGTATTAATAAATTATATTATTATAATAACATTTGAGCGTGTACCAGCTGGTAGCGGCAGCCATCATCGCTTACTGCGCCTTGTGATTGGCTTAGACTTTTTTAACTCTCAGAAGTGTGTCAGTTTCTCCAGTTAAGATTTGTTTTAGCAACACTCATGGCGCTAAGTAAACCTATGGAGATGATGGCGGCGGCCACTGCCGCAGGTTGCGGTGGCTTCCTTTCCACAAGTTTTCTTTACCCTCTGGATACGCTCAAGACGCGCATGCAATCAGGGGCTTCGCTTCTTCCCGAGGACGAGGAGGAGGACGCCGCGGCGCCAAAGAAGAACAAGCAGGTGGCCCTCATCAAGTCGCTGTACAAAGGCATCCAGTACAAGGCGTTGGAGTCTTCGACCTCCAAGTTTATGTACTTTTATGCATACACAATGCTAGCGCAGATGGTTGCGCCCAAGGACGGCAAGCCCATTGGCACGATCATTGACTTGGGCATTGGCTACCTGAGCGAATTGTGTCATTTACCCATCACGATGCCTATGGAGCTCGTGGGTACGCGTATGCAGACCGGCTCAGAGTCTGGTAGTATCCTGCAAATTCTTCGGTCAATTGTCAAGGAGAGCGGCATTGGAGGGCTCTACAAGGGATTGGGAGCCTACTTTGTGCTGTGCCTGCAGCCAGCAATTCAGTACACGGTGTTCGAGCGACTCAAGGGCGTATATCTGCGCAAGTTCAAGCAGGCTTCGCAAGCACTTGGAGCGCTGGAGGTGAGGACAATGCAGTAATGGAGCTGGAAGAGTTGAGACTGTCTTTTGACCCGTTTTCGTTGCTGTGCTAGGCGTTTGTGCTGGGGGCTATTGCGCGTTCCTTCGCGACACTCGTGCTGTTCCCATACATCCGCGCCAAGGTGCTGATGCAATCCAACAAGAAAAAACATACAGCTACGGCTGATCAGGAGCAGAGCCAGTCGAACACTTGCGCTGAGCACGAGAAGGAGACCATTGCGTCGACTCTGCAGCGCGTGTACACGGAGGAGGGCCCGCTAGCGCTCTACCGCGGCCTCGGGCCAGAGCTCACGAGGGTACGTGTTGTGCTTAAAGTGGTAGCTACATGTATGCTTGGTATTGCTGACCCACACCGGTATTTCTATTATCTGATACTTATGCAGGGCGCGCTCTCGTCCGCGCTGATGCTCATGATCAAGGAGAAGATCCAAATGTACATCACGCTACTCAGGTTTATCGTCAACTCAGCGTAGACTGCGATGAAGCCGCCGCCGCTACTGTATAGGAGACCTTCACTCACAAATCAATATCTTGAAGACAGTCGTCTGCGAAAAACTGTTTAGCCCAGGAGCGTGAATACGCAGGTTTTTCGCAGAGCGCGTAACCCGTATATCGGGTTACGGGCACTTCTAGTTCGTCACAATGAGCGTCCAGAGAGATGCCTACAAAATGTTGCACAGTGGCAATGAAGTACTACATGAACGGCAAATTTATAAGATCACTCCAGCTTCCGGGCGGGTGACCACGAGCTCGGTCCACGGTGGACTGGGGCTTAGTTAACTTCAGTCCACCTGGTGGACTGAAGTTAACTCCACCAGCATCTATTTCTGCTTGATTGTGCCTGCCAGAAACGAGGCTTTCCCCGTGATTAACGGATCACAAAAAAGGCAGGACGCTGAAGGCACACGTCCGGATTCCAATGTGCAAACAACAACTACACGCTACGTGACGTAGTACGTCGGGCAACGTGCGCGTCGAGCCGATAGACCGTCGTGTCGAGCGAATTGCTGAGCGGAGCGATGGTCTTGCTTACGGGCCTTACCTCTTGAGCACCTGTGCGGAGCGTAAACGTCCAAATCGGGGGAAATCGGTACGCGTGGACCTTTGGGTCCGACAATAGCTCCTAGAATCGAGCGTTATTATAATGCTGTCGTCCATAAGTTTCGTATCAGTTTTCTGAAGGCTGCAGAAGACGTTGCTGCCGTTGCTTCAACTGACTGACAAGTTGCCTTTTCGGTTTGGCCGCGAGCGTGCTGTTATCGCAGAGACCACTCTCATAATTTACTCCGATTAACATTATGTATAGAGGGTATATTTGATATTGAAGCTTTCCTTGCGTTTCTTTAAGGAACAAATCATCCTCAAAAAATACAATTGTAGAGTAATATAAATTATACAGAGGAAAAAGTATGTGCGTGGCTTCCGTGGAAACTCCGGCCCGTTTCTGACCGCACAACCCCACGATGACGAGCATATTGTATGCCGCATAGAGAGCGCCAGTCAGAGTCAGAGTGCATGTTGCGGGTTGCGGTGGAAAAGAACAGTGTACAGCATTCACGAGCAAGCAGAAGGCGCCTACTAGCCAAGGAACAGGACGAAGCGCCTCCACATTACGTACGTACAGTCCAGGGAAGGCCTCCACTCCCCGTATAGCATCCCACAGACACAATCCAGGAGTAATTGAGACGCACAGAGATCAGAGCGATGTGTTGGTGGTGCTGCATGCGCGTGTTGGAGAAGTGTCTGCCCCGTAACGACATCGTGCGGGAGCTGGCGCCGTATTTGCAGCATGTGCATCAGGACGACGCGCTGGACGAGGAAACGCGGCGTGGCGGGGACATGGGCGGCCCCTGGGTGCGGACGCAGTCTCCCAGGGGCGTCGACAAGGACTCAGCCACGTCCAGTGACTCGCTACGCCACGTAAATGCGAATTTTCCACTGCGTCACAGTCTAGACTGTGAACTTAGTCTCCAGAATGACAACAGTTTGAACCAGAGCAGGCCACTTAGTAAAATGAGCATGAGGAAGCCCGACGCGGGCTATCAGGACGGCAACTACCAGGACCACGCTAGTGCCACATTCCAGAAGGAATACATTAATTCGGCCGAGATTTCTTCCACACGAGACGGACTCCGAACGGTTTCCTCCTATGGAAACTCGCAGAATCAGACTCAGGAGGGAGATAACCCGACGCTACTCCGTCTCACGAGGATGGAGGCGGAGAGTGGGGGCAGCATCCAGAGCTTGGAGGTGTCAGGGTCCGAATACTCCGGCGCGGGCTCGAACAACACGATGAGTGGCAAGAAAAACCAGACAAATAAAATCAAAACGGACCTGGGAGACCTCACTCCCGTGAGGTGGGACAAGGTCGTGATTGTGCAGGTCTCCGTACAGGGTTTCCGCGAGATGATGAGTCAAGCTAAAGACCTCATGGAGGACGCCAAGTTACTGTACGAGCACACGGTACTATCTCGACTAGCGTCGGAGTATGGCGGACAGGAGATTCTGAGCCACTCACGGTCGGGACTGTTTGTCATCGCCTTTGCATCCGAGTTCCACGCAGCCAAGTGGTGTCTGTCCTTGCAGCTGAGTCTCGTATACGCCGCGTGGAATGACAAATTACTCAAGCAGTTTGACGATATGAGGGAAGTATCGGTGACGACCAACGGCAAGACCAAGAAGAACATGTTACTGTATCGCGGGTTCCGCGTTCGGATGGTGATCCATACGGCAGATCCAGATATTAATCCCGAGTTATCTTTGAGTGAAGCGGTCAAGTGGACCAAGACGGTGAGTGAATACGCGCATGGAGGACAGATCGTGTTGAGTGACAACGTCTGGGATCGGTTAAAGGAACAGCTCGTCCAGTTGGGGAACCCTGTGGTGGAAGACTTGGGTGGCCACGCAGTTTTAGGCGACGAAGTGCTGCTGATGTTGCTGCTACCTCGAGACCTGGAGCTAAGAAGATTTCCGAGTTTGAAAAGCCCTCACCAGCTCTCGCTGGGCATGCGAGACGCTCCGTCCGCACACAAACCAGTCACGATGGTGTTTACGTTCATCGAAGGTGCTCGACCGCTTGTTCGCTGTCACGCTGAAGAGCTGGCAGATCGTATTAAGACGCTGTGTATGGTCGCTCGTGAGCTGTTGAGAAAACACAATGGCTACGAGTGTCAGGAGCTACAGGGAGATTTCATGCTGGCGTTCTTCACACCTGCTAGCGCCATCTTGTGGTGTGGTGAGTTCCAGGTGCGTATTCGACAAAAGTTCCGCGAATGGGATCGAGAGAACGAGAACCAAGAGCTGCGCTTCTCAATGTCCATGGGGATCGAGACTGGCGTTCCTGCTAGTGTAAGTCCACACAAGACGAGTGGACGTGCTGATTACTTCGGTAATATTGTGAACCAGACGGCGCGTATCGCCAAGGCTGCGCATGGCGGTCAAGTTCTGATTGGTGGAGATGCCTGGAGTGCTTACTGCGCTGCTCAGCCATCACAGCAGATAATCTCCAAGGCTGACAAGATCAAGGATATTCCAGGCTCTACGGTGTTCCAGTTCAAGGCGCACGGCTACTACAGTTTCAAGGGCATCTCGAAGCCGATCGGCCTTATTGAAGCGATTCCGGTGGACGTGCAGTCAAAGACGTTGAGCTTAGACCTGATGACTCTGATCCGAGGTCACGCGCCCAAGGCCAAGCGAATCGAAGACGCTGCGCTCGCTAACCAAGCCAAGACAGTTGTACCTGATGTTCCATCGGAGCTCGTACGGCTCAGTCACGGCGGTGAGCAGCCCAACAACTCGATTCGGGAGACGGAGTTCGACTTCAACCTCTCGTGGGATGACAGTATTTTTGTTTTTGAAGATATCGACGAGGAAGATGGAGATATGGAAGACGAAGGACAAGGACGCGGCTTGGCAGTGTGTGGCAGTGTTGCCCTGGCTATGCGGAATAGCACCCTAAATCATTCGCGCCTTATGGCTCAATTGCGCTCATCGAGAAGAGATGATTCCTTCACTTCACAACGCAACTCCGCGAATGCGACGCGGACGGAAGACATGGATAGAGTATAATCGCAAGGAAGCCATCGACTGGTTTCGCTCGTGGTACTTTTACTCGCGGTGTCTCGATTTTCGTCGTAGGGAGATGAAAACTCGTTGCTCTTGGAGAGGAGAGACATTCGCAGTGACGTGGTGAGCTCAGTTGTATTGCCGCTAATAAATTAAAATGCTTTGCTATGGCTAGGAGAGTCGGTGGTTGTGTCGGTGTTAGTAGCGAGTACCGAAGGCAGTAAAGGCATGAGAAGTGGCTGCGTAGGTTTCTTGAGGATGCTGTATCTACGCGAAGGTGACAGCGACGGTGAGCCTGCAGATGCGCCAGAGAAAGAGACAGATGGTCGACGAGAAGTTGGCACGCGATGTTCTTGTTGCCGTGCGACGAGTGCGCGTAGTTCTGGATCCGCATCCAACGCGAGCTGGACACCTCGACGGACGAGTTCTTCCATTATTTTAGCACCGTTGGGGTTGGAAAAGAGGACGAAGCACGGGGGTGAGTGCACAGGTTTGCCCGTACTACCGGTGGGAATGTTGCTGCGATTATCTGTTGCTTCATCCCACGTTAAAGACCCCTGGACGATCGCACGGGCTTCTTCCAGCTTCACTTCTCTAAAGTCAGAGTAAGGAGGTAAGTGGGTTATTAGAATGAGGTTAAAATGGAAGTACTAACCTGGCATAACTCGCACAAAAGATCATTTCCTTGTAGGCTTGCTGCTGTTGTCGGAATTCTTTCCTACATTCAATTAGGTGCTCGGTCAGGAGTTGCCATTTGATGCTAAAACAACAAGAATACGGTGAGTATTTAACAAATGTCATGCTCATGGACATGTCTAACCTTTTTGGTATCTTCACGACATGGGCAGTGGTTTGTTGGAGACGTTGGAGCTCGACTGGTGTAATGAGCATTTGCATGGTGGCCAGCTTCTCGTCCATACCTCCGAGTATAGCGACGGAGCCTGCTCGAGACCGATGTTTGCCCGCTGATCCCGGTGCAGACCCACTAATCGAGTCTTTTCGTGCACTCAGGCGCCTCTCGTCGATGTTTTGTTGGCGTTCCATGCGCTGACGTTCATGGTCCATGTTGTCCCACCAGATGGACAGCGCATGCAGTCGAGCTCGGTTGCAGTTGATGAAGGACCTGAATAGCACCAGAAAGCACTGTCAGCTTCACACTAGTCCCGTATTACACAAGAGAGGAGCAACTTACATGCCAGCCTTCTGAGCACGAATGACTTTACCTCGCCACTGGATCATCACGCGGTTGAAATTCTTCTTGGCGTGGCACTGAGTGCATTGATCCAGCATGAACTGCCGCAACAATGCAGCATTCCGAGCTTTGCGACGACAGCGTACTCGTAAGAGTTGCTTCCACAAACACTTTCGAAGCCACGTGTAGACGATCACTGTGTGCTTCGAGGCGTGCTGCCACTTCCACTTTCGCCAGATCTTTTGGATGATACACGCAGCAACACCCTCGATTTTGGCCATCGCCATGATATGCTTAGTCTGCACGAGTTGTTGGTGCCAGCGATGCGAGATTGCGGCGAACGACACCACGTGAAGCCAGAGTTTACGTCGTCGGTAGCGAGGAGTTTGTTCTAGTTCCGCTGCCAGTTGCCTGTCTGGGTTTACCTTCCGTAGGTATGCCTCGCGCTTTGCTGCCAGCTTTTCGTCTTCCAATTGGATAATCTGTTCGCGGTGACGATGGGTGCGCTCCATTCGCTCTGCGGCTTGTTTCTTTCTAGCAAACACGTTGGTACGAGTGAGTTTGGGACCCAGTATTTGCCAAAGAATTATTTTATACCGGAGTTCGTGATCTTCAGGAGATCTCGGAGTCTTCGAGCGTTCTTTATTTTCGCGGATTTTCTAACGACACACAGAACAGTGTTAGAGTCTCGATGTCTAGCTAGGAAGGGTACGACCTTACGTCGCCGATGTGGTTTTTCTGTCGGTACTGCTGCTGAATCTGCTCAATTTCTTGCTATAAAGTGAGAAATACACGACGTTAACAAGGTAGAATGCTGGATATAGTCGAGAAAATATTCACCTGGAAGGCTGCCCACAACGTTGGATCAGCGCGTAGGTCAGCGATGAACCGCTGGATTCTATTCACACCAGAGCGCTTGTGTTAAATCTGGCTTTCAAGGCTGTGAACACTTCATACCTCTCCTCTGATCTTTGAGTAATTTGTGTTGACCGCGGACTTGACGGTGTCGTTATCACACTCTGAGCTCGTCTACGCGGACTAGAAGCACCCTCAGTGGAGTTATGCGGACACCGCGGAGAAGATGGGGCTCGAGGTGATGATTTTTTTTTGGGTGATTTCGAAGAAGCAGTCGCTAACACGTTGGCTCTGGTTGAACACTCTTCGTTAGGTAGTGTTCTACTTTGGCAATTCTTTCGTTAAGCCTTACATAATTTGACGCACACGCGCAACTTCACCTTCCTCGTTTGATACGACTTCCCACTCGCTATCAGGACAACGAGAAGGATTTCTGTGAACCACAATACAAACAGTGAGCACTTAACAGGTGGACAAGTGCAGGGGTTACGTACATCCAAGACGTTGGAAGCACAGACTGACGGATAAACTCGAGAATATGTTCACGAGGCAACCCCCACAAGAGCAATGGGGACTGCTCTTCATCGTCATGCAGCTTCTTTTTCATCATATTATGCAGCACCTTGGTTCGATCTACGTGTCCTGCTTCAATGCAGGGCTTCCGTAGATCGTGCAACTGTGCTCTCCACTTTTTCTCGACACTTTCATCGGGATCATACACTTCAATACTGGGAGCTATCCGGGGCGAGTGAGGTAGAACTGAGCACATTTCCTGCCCTGCAATGGCTGCAACAGAGCGGCGTGTAGCAGCCACTCCACCGTTAATTCTACGAGGCATTGCAGCCGTTGGTCTGGTAGCTCTCGACGCAGGACTTGACTGTTTCAGCTGGACGATCGTCTCCTTTGCCATGTCGGCATTCCCAATCTGCCTCACCATCCATCCGTCCAAGCGGTCTAGCTGCATTCTACGCAGAAGCTGATTGAGCTACGGGCGACCTAAACTAAGGGTTGGCACTGAAGAACTTCTTAAAGACAAGAAATAAACGTGTCTAAAAATACGTCGTGGACAAAGTTTTGCCCGGCTCACCTCAAGTTGAAGTGAACTTCAAGAGTTTTTGTTAAGGAGAAGACCAACCGCAACTCGAACCGGCACAACTTATTCAACCAATACGTCGCCGACGCGCTCCGTCCGACAATCAAAACAAAAGCCTCCTCTCTCGTCTCCTACGTCGCTCCTAGTGAGCGATCATAATTGGGACAAGGACGACGCGGGAATCTAGCTACTCGTCGATAGGGGGAAAAAAAAGAGGAAGTTGACTGGAGACGCGCTGGAAGCTGACGACTGGGTTGAAGGGGACTGCAGCTGGACGATCGGGTTCCATTCTTCTAGTAGATAATGTTGCTGAGACTTATTCCGTCAAGCCCATGTTCACCTCACCGTTGAAGATGGCGGCGGCCGCGGCGAAGCGCTCGGCCTGTTGCTGCTGGAGCTCCGTCATGGCCATCAAAAAGGCCGGTTCCTGCTGGTATTTCATCATCGCCGCCTGCAGAACCTCGCGCGTGAGGCCGTGCTTGGCGTGGATCTCGGCCGACAGGTTGTCTGCGCGCTTGACATATCTCTGGTTAATGGCTTCTTCCTTGTTGTCCGGGTTCAGTTCCTTGACCTCCAGACACACTTCCTCCATGGCCACATTGAGCGACTCCATTGTCTCCTGCATGATCGCAATGAACTTGGTCAGTGTGAGCTCGGCGGGCACCTCGACGTCACTGAAGCCGCCGCCGGTCATGACACGGTACAGTTCCTGCAGCTTGGCCACAGCGTTGGCCACGTCCTTGTCGCCATCCTCTTCGAAGTATTCGGTGGCCACCTTGACCTCGTCCTCGGTGGTCTGGAACTTGGCGTACACCTGTGACTCGATGGCCTTCATGGCCTCCTCGAACTGACCCATGAGGTACGAGGCCAGTTGATCCTCAGGCAAGGAGCGTCCGCTCTGGGACGATTCCTGGCGGATCTTAGCCTCCAGCTTGGCCAGTTGCATCTAAGCAAATAAACAGAATTAGTATCCGTAGGCGTAGTGGAGTACAGCTTGGACTGGTTTAACGTACCACAACTTGGCCCATCTGCGTGCAAATGGTCTCAAGGATGCTGAGCAGCTGCTCCTTTTGTAGGTTGGGCACTTCACGTACACCGTCGTCCTTCTTCTCCTTCTTCGCGTCCTGTACAAGTATCGTAGGTGATTAGTTGAATGTATCGTCCCTTCCTCACGACGACAAACGTGCACGTACGCTGGAGCTGCCGTTGCGGGCGAGAGCGAAGATAAGAAGAGCGGCGGCTGCCACAGCCGAGACGCCTGCGATGACCAGGGGCTTAGTCACCTGCACCATGCTGCTGTGTGTGAACGGGGGAGGCGAGAGGAAGGGAGGGGCCAGACACGTTCTTGGTTGTGTGTGGAGGCCAGCGATATCGGGTGGAGCTGCTGTCGGTAGTTCACCGGTAGGCTCATCAAGCCGGAAGGATGATAAAACCTCGAAGCAGGCAGATAAACCTCGACATTTCCGGATTACCGGTTTTTGCGTTTGCCTAATATCCGTATTTTTGAAATTTTTAAGGAAAGCACAGAGCCGCTCTGGATTTTGTCAGCAATTAACTTACAAAGAAAACGTTTGCGCTCATTAATTTATTGTAGGATATGAATTCCTGACGTAGACCCCACCCCTACTGTTAGCTTTAAAAATACACAGCCAATTGCTGGACAAGATGTACTTTTATTTGCTCAAACAACTCAATCACCGCTTTTTAGGGGTAGGGGTACTTTATTCAAGCTTTTTTTCGGAATTGTCGGCATTCTCTAAATTTCGAAATAAGACGCTTTAGTAAAATCAAGTCAAAGCATTTATTATCGCGTAAAAGGCGTCTGTACCAGAAAAAAAAATTCACGCGGTTGCAGAGTAAATATAGACTAAAAAACGACGATGAGGCGCCATGCAACCGACCAGCTCGCATTACGCGCGGGATTCACACCGCGGGAGGCAATGTAAAGAGCTTCGCGAGGTCTGGACCCCCACTGGCACAATAGGGAAAGAGGTTGCAGCGGAGAAGATGCTTGAGGAGCTCCTCACTTCAATAGGATTATCGAAAGTCGATTTAGATGACATACATAAAGCTCATAGTGAATTAGCTAGTCTCCCGACCCAGAACATGTGCTCATTGTTAACAGCTTTTTTTATTTACATGCAGACAAAGAAAAGCAACAAGGCGAGAGCGGCGGACGGACTACAAGCAAAATCGACAGCGCTAGGGTATTTTTCACAAGCTGTGAGCATGCTTCGCGAGCGCTACACCAACTCACTTGGTGACTCTAAGCGAATTGCCAAGATTCGGGACAAAATGGCTAGCTACATAGAAGAGAGAAATTTGCGCGCAAATGTGCAAACCAATGACGCTCCTGGATGTAACGTGAATGATCTAAGTGTACTCGTTGGGTATCTAATTGCTAAAGCTGACGTGGTTACCGACTAAAAGTCTGTGTATGATGCGGCTCTATTAACTATGATGTGGTATACATTTGGGAGAGCTGTCGATACCTGTTTTGCACGTAAACAACAGCACTCGATTTCAGCTTCTGGTGAGCTTTATCGACACATTGCCCGGATCAAAACTTCCACGGTTCAAGGCGTCTAAATATATAAGGCCCCGGAGAGATGGCAGCAGTGTATGCTTCACGCTTTCGGGCTGCTTTTTATCTGCTACGACGAGCCCTCCGAATATTTGTTTCCGCTGGCACCTAATTTCGCAGAGTCCGACCTTCCTGGTAATAAACCGTATTCACAAGAGGAAGCTGTTTTGTACTGGGGAAAATATTAGAAGATGATAACAGCGCCCCAAAAGTGAGAGAGGAAGAGACCAAATATCGCAAGCTATATTACCGAGGTCATTAGAGATTCGCTGAAGTCGATGTCTCCTGCTCTCAGCCAAACGGTGACGCTGAATATGACCAGCCACTCCATTTGCCGTGGAGCCGCTGCGTACACCAATGCGTCGCCGAAGCTGTCAATTATGTGGATTACAGCTCGCGAAGCTTGGCTGTTGGAGTCACTAACCAAGGCATTTGTCTACATTGGAACGACAACAAAGGAGGATCAGAACGTAGCCAAAGTGTTAGCAGGGTACCAAGCTCCAGACCTACCTGTGGTCAGGGTTTCCTAAAAATATATTGTAATAAGCAATAATTGCCATATTATGCCATACCATTATGTATTTCGAGCCGCACGACTCCCCCGTCAATAACTTATTTCGGTAGATTTAGTCCAGAGTAACATATTTTGTCATTTTGAAATCAAAAATTTACTTATCATAACCCTATTGTATTACTTAGTAACCAATAAGAAAGCGGCCGCTGGAGCTACTCGACAACCAACCGTTCATGCTGCTGCTCTGAGCTGAGGCCAGGCTCATTTGTAAATTCCGTGCTGGCATGGATAATCTTCTCTCCCCAACGCGATCACCAGTTTCTCGCTACACCAGAAAGCAGATCTGCGATGTATTTTTCAAGCCAATCCGTGACGAGAATGACGACTGTATGGGTTTCTATCGATGTCGCTGCGGCGTACAGCGGAAACAGGACGCCAAACGTGGCTACACGAACCTAATCAACCACATTTATAGTCAACATCCTGATTATGAAACTACTCTAGACAGTTTTCAAGGCGGCAACAATGGCACACTCTTGTCGTTCGTAGACAAAAAGAGCGCCAATATATTTGGATGGCTAGAGTGGATTGTTGATGCTAACTTGCCGCTCTCATTCTGCGAGAACAGCCTAACGCGACGCTACACGACCCTCAAGCCCATATGTGATGATACCTTGGTCCACTACATGGCAGCTGTTTGCCAGGAAGTGCTGCGCACGTTCAGCGAATTTCTCCCTGAAAGATTTGGTATCGTATTTGACGGGTGGTCTTTCAAAAGTGAACATTACGTGGGGGTCTTTGCCGCTTTTGGTCATGATGGTAAGCGGGAGACTGTACTATTGGCGATGGCGCCTCTACTAGACAAGGAAGACTGCAACAACCATCCCCATCACGATGCTGATGCACATGTTGCGTTCCTCAAGACGATTTTAAAGCCGTTGAAGCGGCGCATCGAATGTGTCCGCTTCCTGGTCGGCGACAACTGTTCCGTCAATGGAAGCATCGCGTCAAAGCTGGGGATTACGTTGGTCGGCTGTGCCAGCCATCGACTAAATCTCGCTATGACCCAGTATCTGGACGAGTATGAAGACATTCTGGAGAAAATCAACGATCTTATGAAGTTCCTGCGTGGTCTCAATCAGTCGGCAAAGTTAAGGTAAGCCGTATCTGAGTTTTATTCTATATCCGAGTTTTATTTAATTTGTTTTTATGCGGACGACATAGACACAAAACACCACTCCGGCCAGTTATTCGGCAAAAGACTCGATGGTCCTCCACGTTTTCCATGGTGGAACGCTACTTCAAGCTCAAGCCCTTCCTGGACTCCGCGGATGACGACTTAGCAGCGTACATGCCATCCCCACTGGAAGAGAGGCAGCTGCGTTCAACGCTTGACGATCTGAAGGATTTTGAGTCGGTAAGCAAGAAGCTCCAGGAGGAAGGTAACTTAACGCTGGCAGATGTTCGTGCTTTGTTTGACAGCCTCATGGAAAAAGCACCATCCCTAGGGAGCTATCTGGCTCCACAGGCTCCCATAGTCAAGTTCCCGATATTCGAGATGGCGTGCGTACAAGTTCTGAACGGAGAGACTCGGCTTTTGACGCGAAACTCTGTCGCGGCTCTAGCTCAATTTGCTGCTCCAGCCTTAATCCAACCTCAGCATGCCGCAGCCAACAAGGAAAATAAAAAGCTCAGCTTTGCTGAGCAAGCACTTAAGAAGCGGAAGGTGGATGCGCAACAGCAACCGAGGTAGGAGCTTTTTAAATGTCGTTGTCATGTCAATTTGACCAATTCCTTTTGTATATGAACAGATACGAGTTGGTGCAATACATTCCACCGACGTCTAATATTGCCGAACGTTTTTTTAGCCAAGCTGGAATCGTGTTGTCTCCTCAGCGGCAAGCCATGGCGCCGGCCCAACTGGAAAACATCCTATTTCTCAAGACAAATCGCCGATATTGGAACGTGGCAATGGTGCAGATGGTTGGTAAGCAGAATTGAATTTGAGGTATGCATAATGTATTTCATCTTTGTCAAGGGTGCAATAATGTATTTCATGTCGGCTCTACCATGCTCACCATTATATATTTCATCAGTTGTTTACCATATAATTGCAATACTATTCTAGGAAACCCTGCCTGTGGTAACGCCGACAATTTGTGACCTGCAGCAGCGTTTAACGGTACTGGAGTTTGGTCAGCTTGTAGCCCTTCGAGACGAGCCCTACCGCCACGTACTTGGTTTCCAGGACGCTCGATTTAATGTCGCATTGGATGTCCTTGATTGCACGTTTGCATCGCTGCTAATGCACATGAATGAGGTTCGCATCGACATCGAAAACACCACCAGCACCTCGTTCCCGTCGCGCTACATGTACGAGCTGCATCGCGGTATCGCCTCTTCCAACGCTCGTCTTGGATCCTGGATCACGATACGAACATGCTGTGAGTGGGGGGGGCGTACCTGAGAGCTCACGTGAAGACGGCAAACCACGCGCAGCTTAGCAATGCTGTCGCTGGTAACGACACGCTGCTATCATCCACTATTAACAACATGTTAGCCCAGCTTGTGAACATCAGCGAGCGACTTGGTCGCCATGAAGACTCGCAAGCCCAGATGCAGAGCCAAGCCTTAGGAAATACTCAGACGCATCAGCAGTTGCCACAGCTGCCTACTGCTGTTGAGGTTGCCGTCCCAGCTTTAGCGTCAGCGTCCACCCTTGCTCGATGCCTGCTCAGCTCGTACACTAACCACATATGGCAAGTGAGAAGGAGCAAAACCAGCGTGTCGAAGCAAAGGCAGCAGTGAACATAATGATGGTACTGCACCAGAAGCCATTCCAAGTCCCAGAGAAGCCTCCACGAGCCAACGTCGCAGCTTACAAGGCCTGGAAGCACGTAGTCTGGGAGCTGGCATTTAAGCTGGATGCAGCCGCGAACCAGCGTCTCCACGCCTTCAACCAAAAGAACCCAACTCGCAAAGCTTCGTCCCTTCGCAAGCGCTGGCGCCTGTTGCGTACGTCGCATCCTGAAGCGTATCGCTCGCTTAACCCCTCTAATCCGAAGATTATTCCGGAGTATCCGTAATTCCTAATATATGAGTTAACGTATGCCCGAAAATCAGTACAATTTACCAAGTTGTGAGCCGTTTCGCGTGACACGTGTCCAGATTATGTCATGTGATTGGCTAATTGTGAATGATGTGCAGAACAGAACCTGTCCATAAAACTTTCAATTGCG